TCTCTACTAAAAATACAAAAATTAGCCGGGTGCGGTGGCGCATGCCTGTAATCCCAGCTACTGGGGAGGCTGAGGCAGGAGAATCGCTTGAACCCAGAAGGCAAATGTTGCAGTGAGCCGAGATCATGCCGCTGCACTCCAGCCTGGGAGACAGAGTGAGACTCCGTTTTAATAAATACATAAATAAATAAATTAAATAAATAAAAATAGCTCACACAGACGGGCAGAAGGCTGTTCCCCCAGAAGGTTTTGGATGGGTCTGGTCTTCCTCAGAACTCTGAGGCATCACGTGTGAGGCATCAGAAGAGAGTGGGATTTTCACTTTGCCGTCTTTCACTCCAGGGTTCCTAGTCAGGGCCTGGACGAATCTGGGTTGCTGCAGCTCCCTAGGGGCAGCTGGAGCGGCTGTTCTGCCCCAAGACCTGCAGGGACCCTCATCTTCCCGCGGAGACAGGTAGGTGCCGCAGCCTCCGGGACCCACTGGCTTCCTAGCTGGGTGCTTGGGAAGCACCTGGAGCAGCAGAAACAGCCACTGGTGCTGAGGAGTCAGGAGAGAGAGAGCAGCGAATGAGCTCTGGCTGCCCGAGCAGATTCCACGGCCAAAGCAGGGCATCTGGGTATGGCGGGAGCTGGGTCCTGGCGGCTGCAGGCTGTGCACGTGGTCAGGACTCAGGGAGGTCCGGGAGTAGGGCCAGGACACCGGGGAGCACCTGGGAGCTGCTCTTTTCCTCCCCTGCTTCCCTCAAATCGATGTCCTCTAGTTCCTACGGCCTTGGGGGCTCTGAGGGAAGCGACTCTTGCACACGGATGGCAGGAGCTCTGTGCCCTCAAGCCTGCCACCCCGGAGAGCTTCCCAGGGCCTGGAGCCCAAAGTGCCATTGAAGTCGCGGTGGGAACACCTTGCCAAGCTGAGGCGCTCCCTGCCTAATGGGATAATAAAGCACTTTGTCACCCGTGAGTGAGAGGTCTGATAAAAGCAAAATATTATCACACCATCTGTGATTAGGAGGCAGCTGCCCACTGGAGACACAGCCACATTTATGAGTAAATAGAATTTGTTTCTGTGCTCTGATTATGAAGGTCACGGTGGTTTAACCCTGTTGCGGAGGCCTCAGATACATTATCTGCTCAAATAGAACTGGGAAAGAAAACACCGGCGGTCATTAAAAGCAAATTACCTTGTTGTACGAAGATAGAAGGGAGAAGGCCGCAGAAATCTTGAGGTGTGGGGCCCTGGGGGTGCCACGGAAGGGCAGCATCTCTGGAGGCACCTGCAGGCAGGAGCTGGGACACGGGAGTGACCTGCCAGTCCATCGGCAGCCAGAGATTCAAAGAGGTCCAGGGCTCCCTGTGGCTTCCTGGAAAGCCCTCAGGATATTTGTAGGCAATTTTGGAAGCTGCCTAGAGTGCAGGAGGTGAGGGTGCCTGTGCCTTCTTTACCTGTGAAAACGAAAGGAAGGATTTCTGTGAGATGAAATCGGCCTGTGTTTCTGGTTTTTATTTATTTATTTATTGAGGCAGAGTTTCGCTCTTGTTTCCCAGGCTGGAGTGCAATGGCACGATCTCAGCTCACTGCAACCTCTGCCTCCCGGTTCAAGCCATTCTCCTGCCTCAGCCTCCCATGTAGCTGGGACTACAGGTGTGCACCACCATGCCTAGCTAATTTTTTTGTATTTTTAGTAAAGATGGGGTTTCACCATGTTAGCCAGGCTGGTCTTGAACTCCTGACTTCAGATGATCCACCCGCCTTGGCCTTCCAAAGTTCTGGGATTACAGGTGTGATCCACCATGTTCGGCCATGTTTCTGGCTTTAAATGCATAAAAGGACTTGCTTATGTTTTGATGCGTTGATGCATTGGTTTTATTTTCAAAGTGAAATCTCTGGCCAGGGGATCTCTTTGGAAGGGGGGCTGGCACAGCACCATCTCTATACTGGATACTGTGGGGAGTGAAAAAAAGAACCAGAAACTGGCCACAGGCACCGTGGCTCACACCCACAATTCCAGCACTTCGGGAGGCCGAGGCAGGTGCATCGCTTGAGCTTAGGAGTTTGAGACCAGCCTGGGCAACATGGCAAAACTCCATCTCTACAAAAAATACAAAAAAAAAATTAGCTGGGCGTGGTGGCATGCATCTGTAGTCCCAGCTAATCGGGAGGCTGAGGCAGGAGGATTTCTTGAGCCTGGGAGGTTGAGGCTGCAGTGAGTCATCATTGCATCACTGTACTCCAGCCTGGGCGATAGAGCCAGACCATGTCTCAAAAAAAGAAAAAAAACATCTGGAATAGGCAGATTCATAAATGGAGATGACCAGGGGCTTGGTGCGGGGGCAGGGGATGTCATGGTTAATGGGTGTACAGTTTGTGTGGAGATGATGAAAAAGTTTGAGGTGTAGCTAGTGGTGATGGCTACATCGCATTTCAAGTGTATCTAACACCACTCAATTGTACACTTACAAATGGTTAGAACGATAAATGCTGTTATGTATATTTTACCACAATTAAAAAAAAAAAAAAAA